ATGTAGGAGCTGCTTGCACTGTTATGTAAATTACTTTCTAAACCTTTGAAATATTTTCTTTTTTATTTGAACAGATATATTTATTTAAACTCATGAAAACCGTCATCATCAGCATTAGACTTTCCTATTTGATTTGTTTTAATGTCCTGAAATTGTAGTGCACTGGTAAATTACAGCTCTTGTTACTTGAGACGTATTCAAAATAAATTTTACTAAATCAGCTGATTGTGTTGCAATTCGTCGACATTTGTGAGACTTATTGAGCTTTTGGCATGGAACGACCGCTCAATTATAACTAAGTCTTTCATTATTTTCAATTAACGAAAGTGTTTTTACACCTCCCTGATTGTCAGGATGATAAAATGAAAAGAAGTTCTTTTTGACCGGAATGGTCGGTTTATGTATGTCATTTCCATTTACGTCAATGTTTCTTTTATTACAGTTGTGAATACGAAATTAATATAATGATCTATTGGACTGAGCAATCTTTAATAATAGCTTAATCGATTATTATGTTTTGATACAATAAAAAATTATCAGCACAAATGTTTTCAAAACGTTTCGTTCTCTTATTTGTTGATCGACACTGACTACAAAAATTGAGTGATATTCACTAAGCAGTTCAGGAATCGACATCTGAAAAAAATGTACATCTTTTCCGATGTTGGTTATTATACGTTTTGTGTGCAGACAGCGAAAGGTTGTACACTTTTCATAAAAGCGTCTGTATGGCTTGTGCTCTTAGTAAACATAATGATGCGTTTAAACAAACAAAAATGAATTACCTTGTTGGAACAACTGGATGTCGCACATGCGTGAATTAGACATTCATTCAAACCTCTTAGCATGTTTCTACACAAAAGAAGGTGATGAACGCATTCAAATCCACACCAGCCTGAATGAATTTGAGTCACAGTGATACAAGACACCTGGGCACTAAAACAGTAGATTATTTTGCAGTGTTCAAGTTAGAGGCGTTGAGTTAACACGATGGTTAATGATTCTTATCCACTCATCTGGAATAATCATACATGAAGTTATAAAAGTTAGAGTTTTCGCGTTGCGCAACACTGCAAGTTGTTGTACATTTTTAGAATGATATTTCATTATATCTGTTACTACAAGCAATCACACCGAATTATTGACAAGGATAACGGACAACACACTTGAAATTGAATTTAAACAGCTTGTAACCTGAGTAGTTAAGATTATGTATTTCTGGTGGTTTGATCAGTCAGATATATTTTATAGTCATGTAATGATTTATTTTACTACAGAAGTGATGAAAGAGTGAATACAATTTTTTTTAATGTTCAGTTCGATAGGATAAACGGAAAATCATTACTAATTCAACCTTTGTTAATGTAATTGAGGACTGTTGCTTCCAGAATTTTTAAGATTTCCGTATGATTTGTATAGCTTGTGAAAGAATCAGTGGTACAGTATGAACCGTCATGAATTCAGGGCTCTACAGTCTGTTAGTAGTAGTGGTACTACTTAAGCTTAAAGGCAAGCGTGATGCATACAAAATGCACAGAATACATAGACGGTTTTTGTCGTAAATCATTGAGTTCAAATTTTAGCATAGGATTTTAGTACAATCAAAACTAAAAGATATCAAGTAAACACGACGTAATGAGCTGTAAAACTCACTACCTGACTGATAGAAGAGCCTCACCTAGTAAAGGAGGAACTTAGTTCTACAATTAAATGATAGATCGTTTCAACTAACCCAAGAGTTTATAACCAAGTGTTATTAATCGATTTATCCTCCATCTAAGTTAATCGTTGTATAAAATAAACTGACTAAGTAAATGAAAGACCATACGATGAATGTAATACATGAGAAGACCAAAAATGTTTCTCAATCCTAGCATGTAATGAGAATAATTAGGAATGAAATGATTAAAAAGAGTGACCTTATATTTAGGGTAGAATATTGGGACACTGCCGTGTACAATATACACAGGAGTGTTTTTGAATATACACAAGCATAGAGGATATTGCAAGAACTACAGACATGCCTGTGACAAAAGTCTCTTTAGTTGAGTAATATATATTCTGTAATCAAGATTGTTTCAAGGGACATAAAGTTGCGATTTCTAGAAACTCACATATTCAATGGAACTATCATTGACCATTAGTTGCAAAGCAACTTTCATGAAGCGCACCAACTGCGATAGTGATTAAAATCATCTACATTCATATCTTATGAATTATCAACCGAGCTGAGTAATTCACTTTAGTGGATATTGTATCATTTGTAACAATTTGATCTTGCCTGTAAACTGACATGCCTCACGTAACAAGCTGTTATTTGAGAATAAATTATTATTATTATTACTAATATGAAGGTGTAAAAGATACTGAAATTTAGTTAATGCATGAACTTGACCATTACAAACACTTTCAGAAATGTGTAACGCGATCCATGAATTTACGAACTTATGTAATGTAGTCGAAAGTCTTTGGTGGTGCAACTTCGTTCAAAATTGGTGATTCTCAACTTTTATAATCTGAAGCACTTTGTATGTATTCAGAGTTTTATCAATTTTTTCCAACGTGTTTTTCACATTCTAAATATGAAATCCTTTCATCGAGAGTAAGTTCTTCCTTAATCAGCTACAGAGATAATATAGTAAGTTAAGTATCAAACATATGAATCATTCACAAGCAACCGATAAAGACCTTTGTACAATTCTTGTGTTGTGAAACATACAGTGATTAATCACTAGAGGATCTACACAAGTGATTTCTATTGGAGGAATGAACACTTTCAATCATATAAGTAGATTATAGTAGAGTTAATAAGTTAATACATCGAGAAAACTAAATTTTAGATAAAACAGCTATTACCAGTATTGTTTAACGTCAAAATTTAAAAGGAAAGTGTAAATGAATGGATCCTATGAACGAACGCCTATTATATTACCAAATGATTACATGAATGACTTTTTCACTCAAGCATATACTTACATGTAACTACATACACAAAATTAACCTAGATATTAATGAATATGCTGACTTACTTGTAGGACTGAAATTAGTGGTTTGACGTAATTGATCAGCCGAGCATTTGGAAAACTTCTGCTCTCTCCCTTTAGCGGCCATCAGAAACTTAGACTATGACAGACATTTTGAGATCCGACATTTAATACGGTGCATAATCAAATCAGTCTTTTCATAAGAATGATCGGTAAACAACACCCATTTCATGAGAAATCATATTCGCGTGTTGTTTAGTCCATAAAAGCATAAGGTTGCTCTAATGTTAAATAATAGTTCGTCCTAAATTAGTTAAACTTTTGGTTTAGCCTGTTTGACGTTTGATTACCTTAAATGACGAGATCAATTTAGATTAAATAATTTTGCATACAGATCACAAAACTACAAGGAAATGTTTTTGCTTATTGTTATGAAGCGCGAAACACTAGAATATCAACTTCATAATTAGTCATAAAACTGAAAGGAAAAGATCCAGTCCAAGTTCAGGGGAAGATGAGAAGCCATTCGAAGTCAAGTAGAAGAAAAAAATCCAGGTGAACCTTGAATATCTGCACCTGATCATGACTACTAGTTAGCTAATAAGGTCGTTATGCTATCAGAAGATTAGTTTCGAATGCTCCACAAGCTTATAAGTATTGGATATTTTGACAGTCTAATTTGTCATACTGCCAAACACAATCTTTTCACAATGAAAACGCTTCAACCTAGAAATTATGCTCAAAGACAAATATATCAGCCATTGAACACCAAGATAAGGGGTAGCTTTTTCTCACATGTTTGTTTTATCTCTAACGCCCACGTAACAGACTTGATAAAAGACACTTCCTAGGTCCTTTCACATAGATGCACAAGATTCACGTTTTTAATCATAATGGGCCTTACTTAAAGATACCAAAAGATAAATTTATTTCACATTGAAGATATCTGACCAGAAGGGCATTAGTTGAGACGAAGGTGGGGACACCGTATTTAGCCTAAGTACCTTGAGTGTCTGTTGCGTCATGGTCAGATATCAAGTACGAGAATGAACGAGTGAAAAAAAAATTTATATCCAGAAACACGAAATAAATATCACAGTATATCAGAGTAAAAATAAAGCAGTGATGTACAGAACACCGAAAAGGAACAGACTCACAGTTTGTAATCTGGCGCACCAGATCACGTCAGACTCAGCAATGAAGATGCCACGGGCATTCAAAGTTTGAAAACGCTTTTACCAGTAACACCTACTATGAATCGTACACATCAAGTGAAATCAAAAGACAGAAGCGAGTAGGTTCGAAGATATATTTGATGGACCACCAATACATCGTGAATCGATTGATCAAATCTGACTAGTGTTCGCAGGGGATGTTGAGCGCGGCGTTCCCACTCGTAATCTTGTGCGGGTGCATGACCTAGAGCCTCTAGCTAGGTGAGTCCATTAAAACTAATGTGGGCAGCGTCCAATGTCGAAGACTTACAGAGTTATTTCTTTTGGAGATTTATTTACCGCTACAACATTCTTTGGTTTCGCACTACCATAAATTATGATTTGACTACTTTATCATAAGTATTATATTTACAGTAGTTCCAACACCCTGAAATAATGTTTTAGGCCAAATTTGAGAAATACAACTACAAAGCGTCTGGAAAAACTGCTAGGACTTGTGCGGGTAGCTGCGTATATTGACAGTTACTGTTGGACTGAAAGCGTACTGTATAGCAGGTTGGTACGTAGTTCATTGATTTTACTAGATAGCTGTGGTGACATTGGATTCATGGACTTTTACAGAGTACGTCGGACTAACACCTGACAACTCATTTTTAGGTAAACTGGATCTTTACAATTGTACATTGCATGACTTCCAACCTTTATAATAAATTTTAAGATGAGGGTCTGCTTGGCTACCCACTTACCTGAGGTCACCAAATAACAGAACCAAAAAGTGCATATTATTTACACTGTCTGTTATTGAAGACTGAATTGATGCTCATTTTTATACGGATCAGAAGAAATAATTTTGAAAAGGTGCGCAACTTTGGAAATGCTAAAGGCTGTGTTGTTGGAGGAGAGTGTCTTCGATGAGCCTACGGAAGATGAAGTAATGCTGTATGCCGAAAGTTTGGGAATCGATGTTGAAAAGGAGCAAGACTTACTTTATATCGCTAAGGAAGGGATTTCTGCCCATTTACCAACTGGCTGGCAGGTTCTCAAGGTAACCATATTTTCACGAATTACTGCCACTTCTAGTTTACTGCTTGGTAACATCAGTTATCTTTACTGTTCCCGCTTCGCATTTTTTTATTATATCCTATCTGTATGCTTAAAGACGTGTACAACGTTAACAGGGGACGTTTTCAATTTTGAAAATATCAAGATAAAATACATCCACATTAGGGATTAACTTGTACAACCCGAGCTTGAAAATCCTTGGGATTTTTTTTCAATCAGAGTCTTTAAACATCATAAGATATCCTTTAGGTACTCAGATCATAATCGTAGAATTTTGTTGACGTTAGTCTTATGCCTATGTAAGTAAAATAAGTAGCAGGAATAATTGGTTGTTAATCTACGCTTTTTTGACCTAACCTTGGTATGTTTTGTAGTAGTTATGCTTTGTTTACTGGAGAGTGACAGTAAGTAGATATAGTCTCATTATTTGGCTTCATGTAGTATCATCCAGGTGTCACAAGTTTATGTATTAAGTTTAACCGAATTCAGGCACTGTCTGGAACAGCAAAATTCAAAACATTAATTTTGGGGACTGAACGGCATTTCACTTAATTAAGCACGTAAGCAAATTGAAGTTGTGGTTAGATCTCTTATCATTATTTTAAGACAATTCCGTAGCTTGATCAGGTTTCGCTGATATCATACTAACGACAAACTCAGACGAGGAATGCGTTTTAGTCTACATTTAACAAAGCTCTGTGAGAAGTGGTAATCTTTTGATTGACTAAGTCGAGGCAGAGGAAATACAATTTGAAGCTACGATCTGATTAAAAGTTTAGTAATTTGGTCTGCGAGCCACCCTTGGTAACTAGATATTCACGAAACTGATTATTTCTGAGTTCTATTGCGATGTCAATTTGTTGTCGTGTCAAAGTAATATGAACCATTGTTTTTCTAATTAAATTATCCAAATACTTGGACCAAGTAGTAATAATTTTTGTACTGTTCATCACTATTGGAGTAATATTTACTTTAACCAAACAATACGTAAACAGTTATTTGCATACACTAAATAAACATAATTTATATCTAATTATTTTTCTCCGTAGGATGAAAATAATCAAATATTTTATTATGACAGTGCATCTGGTATTAGTTTATGGGAGCATCCATTAGATAGACACTTTCGAGATTGTGTTCTTAAAGCCCGTCAAAAGAAACAAGATGCCATTGATACAACAAGTAGTTCTGGCAAAATCCCTCATGATAAATCTGTAGAAGCTGGTTACGTCGTGTCGGATGGTTTATTGCGCCCCCATTCGAAATCATCCACCAACAACAAAGAGACAGCAAGGGGATATGCATCAACCCGTTCTGGTCCGCATGAAGGTGAGTGTTGTTCTTTTCTCGTTCGGTTTTTTTGTACTGCGTTTGTTATAACGCATTTCAATGGAAACCGAATTATTCAGCAAATATCAATATACCAGTTCTACAGGAGGTTAGCAGCTGTTCGAGTAGCTCACTGGTAACATCTCAGACGGTTTGAAGCTGGGTAACGAATTCTAGTTCTACTGTGAGCAGTTTCCTCAATAAAGGATGCACATCTGATGAATCCTAATTAGCGTATAAGTGATTTTCCTGCTAATTGCCTCCAATCAACTGACTTCAATACTGTATTCATAAGCTATTAAAGGTTTCCATCTATATATGGCTAATAAACGATTCTTGTGTCGATGAGTCGCTACGTAGCCTCGATTAACTGATAAATAAGTTATTTCTTCACTAACAGCAGACTGGAAGAATCAATGAAAATTTATAATTCCCTAAACCTGCAATTAAATTCTAAAGCACGCATGTGTCTGATATCCTTGAGAAAAAATCATTGTGTGAGTTATTTTGAGGTTATCTTCCGTCTATCTTGGTCATATTTTTCAACTAGACTATCATTTAATAATGAGTATTTCTGTTCGTTCCTGTGTTGATTTTACTGCTTTTCTATTTTATTTCTTCACAATATTGTCCCTTTACTTTTATTTCTCAATTTTTCCCTGCCTTTATTGGGATTTACGTTCCTGAATAAAGTAATTTATGTCCTATTAATTAGGAGAGTTAAATTTCTAACCTCCCGTCAACTCAGACCGGCTCGTGTTCTCGTCCTTAACTACCATGCATGTATAATTACATAATCCTCTATTGTGGTTGTTACACTGACTGATCGAGTTCTATGGCAATCATTGTATGAAACACTAGCTTATGAAGTCGGGAGTGGGGAGAGTCAGCTCTTCCTCTGCAAAAGCTCTCACATGGTCACATGCATGAAACCACTTCAAGGGAAGTCCTACTCACTGCCTTCTGGCGGCGAGGGTGTTGTTTACGAAATTCAGAGGATGAAAAGCGAATGTCCGGCGCTTTAGGCGGGCTGGTGGATATGGAGAATCCACCTAGGGGAGTGGGAAAACCCTCACTCCAAACCAATGGCGCACATAGCCTCCAGTATCCTGAAGGGACAAGTGGCGTATGAATCTATTGTTGGTCACCAGCTACCATGAGACTGTATCTCCTGACTGTGTTCCACTGTCTTGTGGATCAGACCTTTATGTTGAAGGCTCCGGGTGTGGTCCCCTAAGAAAACCACCTTCGGTTTGGGCAACCGGGTAGTATCGCAGCCCTCACACAAATCGAAGAAATTATGTGGTGCATATCTATTTGGTGCCGCCTTGTACCAATGTGTATGTTTTTAAATAAATAAATAAGTTCTTTGGGGTTCTATTATACTAGATAAGTCGGTTGGGATTCTTTAAGACTTCAAACAAGAAATTTAATACCCACGGACGAAGTCATACAAGTATTGCACTGTGGTGTGGCATTAGTAAGATATTTCTTGTGGATAGTCAACATTATCCATCCTCATAACGGAAAACATGTTACGATGATCGGCCCTGCAAGTATCCCATCTGACCTGGATACACGGATTTCCAGTCGTTGGGAGCATCGATAACTACCCACAAAGTTCTTGCATAACCCGAGTTAACCTTCTCACTTAACTTTCCCTTATCTAGATGTTTTAAAATATCATTCGACACACATTGTGAAGCTTAAGAGGCCTATCCTTGTCGTAGTGACTACATTATTTGATGTAAGTCAGTCAGTCAGTCAAACTGGCTGCCTTCAACGTTCGCACACTAATGCAGGTCGGACAACAGATAGGGCTGGCTATGTCTTTGGAAAGTCTCAATATTGATGTTTGTTGTCTATCCGAGACCCGTATTCAAGACTCTGGCGAAGTACTACAAATTCGATCTCCATCTGTCGCTTCGAAAAGCTTGTTTTACGTGCGCTTATCCGGGGACCCTGTGGCATCTTCGTCTGGTCTTGCTGGCGTTGGTGTCGCACTAAGCGCTAGAGCTGAGGCAGCCCTAATCGATTGGATCCCCATTAACAGTCGGTTATGTGCTGTTAGATTAGGAAGTTCCATCAAAGTGAGAAGAAATCGGCGTGAGAAACGATGTCTTTTCGTCATCTCCGCCTATGCCCCGACAGATTGCAGCCCGGATGCAATCAAGGATGAGTTTTACCACCAGCTGTCTGTTCTTCTCCAGAAAGTGCGCTCGACAGATATTGTAGTACTAGCCGGAGACTTGAATGCTCAGGTCGGGCGTCTAGGCACAGAAGAGAGTCGTTTAGGTGGCCGATGGGGACTCGTTGGTCGCAGGTCAGATAACCCGGACCGTTTACTGCAACTTTGCACAGATCACAACCTGTTTCTGGCTAGCACTAACTTTCGGCACAGTCATCGCCGATGTGCCACCTGGCGTCCTCCCTCTGCATCCCAAGCCTGGACTCAGATTGATCACATCGCGATCAGCTACCGCTGGCGTGGTTGTGTAAAAGACTGTCGCTGCTTTTGGAGTACCTATCTGGACTCTGACCATGCCTTGGTCTGCGCCAATCTTGCCTTACTTTTCAGTGGACAACGAAGTGACTGCCATCAACGGATTGATATTAGCAAGCTGGTTGCAACTTCTGTTGCAAGTAAGTATCGAAACGAGCTAGCCTCTAGTTTAGCTACCACTCCACCGAAAAGTATAGATAAGCATTGGTTGCAATTGCATGACGCCATGAAAATGGCGGGTACAGTCAGTTGTGGGTTCGCGAAACGTCCCGCTTACAAGCACTGGGTTTCTTCAGGTTCCTTACAACTCATTGAAGCCCGTCGGTCGACTCCGGGTGACCGTGTGTTTGACCATAAACGAAGGATGTTACGTAAGGAAATCGGGCAAAGCTTGCGTAAGGACCGAGAAGCCTGGTGGTCGGAGCGTGCTAATGAGATGGAAGCAGCAGCTGCATCTGGTAACCACCGGAAGCTCTTCCAGCTCATCCGAGCCACTGGCAGCAAGAAGTCTGGTGTGAGTGAAACAATCTGCGAGGATGACGGGATGCCAATCACTAACATCCATCGACGTCTTGGACGATGGGCAGAATTTTTCGAAGGGCAGTTCAACTGGCCTGCTGCTCCGGCAACATCGGTCAGACTGTCCTGCCCTCTGTGGCCGGTGACGACTGATCCACCAAACGAGGCGCAAGTCCGCAAGGAACTCCAACTCTTGAAGCGCTACAAGTCACCGGGCCCAGATGACTCACCTCCGGCTCTTTTTAAAGATGGTGGCGACTTTTAGACTAAGGAATTGACGACGTTGTTTACAAAGGTTTGGGAATTAGAGAGTGTACCAACGTCATGGAATGAGTCGATAGTTGTCCCTATCTTTAAAAAGGGTTCACGTCGTTCCTGCAACAACTATCGGGGGATAAGTCTACTTCCGATTGCATCCAAGCTATTGGCTTCCGTCATACTTCGTAGGTTGTTCAAAACCCGGGAAAGATTGACTCGCGAGGAGCAGGCTGGGTTTCGTTCTGGTGGAGGATGTATTGATCATATCTTCACCCTCCGCCAAATATTAAAACACCGTCATACTTATCAAAGGCCAACAATCGTAGTGTTTCTTGACATCAGGGCTGCCTTCGATTCGTTGGACAGGACTGTTCTCTGGGATTGTCTATTGAAGAAGGGTCTGCCTGAGAAGTTTATTAACATCCTAAAAGCCCTATATAAAAGCACCTCAGGCAGAGTGAGGGCATACAACCACCCCTCTCCATTGTTCCATTCGAGCAGTGGGGTTAGGCAGGGTTGCCCAATCTCACCATTCCTCTTCAACTTTGCCATCGATGACATTCTGGAAACAGCTCTGATGAATGTAAGTAATGGTGGTGTGGATCTGTTGCCTGGAGAAAGACTTCTCGACCTTGAGTATGCGGACGATATTGTCTTACTGTGTGAAAATGCCCAAGGCATGCGATCCGCACTTAATCAGTTGGCAATCAGTATCCGTAGGTATGGTATGTGTTTTGCACCTTCGAAGTGCAAAGTACTTCTACAAGAATGGCAGGATTCCAATCCTGTACTCACCCTGGATGGTGAGCAGATAGAAGTAGTCGAGAAGTTCGTGTATCTGGGTCGCTGCATAAGTGCTGGTGGGGGTGTGAGTGATGAGATCAATGCACGTATAGTGAAAGCCAGAGTGGGTTATGCCAATCTGGGCCACCTTTGGCGCCTTTGTGATGTTAGTCTGGCTTTAAAAGGTCGGATCTACAACGCGTCGGTGAGAGCAGTTTTGCTCTATGCTTGTGAAACCTGGCCTCTCCGAGTTGAGGACGTTAGACGACTCTCTGTGTACGATCATCGCTGTCTCCGAAGGATTGCTGACATTCAGTGGCAACACCATGTTAGTAATGCAGAGGTTCGGCATCGTGTGTTTGGGCACAGAGATGATAATTCAATTGGTGTCACCATCTTGAAACACCGACTTCGGTGGCTTGGACATGTTCTACGAATGTCGTTCCAGAGAATTCCACGTCGTGCATTATTTGCCGACTCTGGGACTGGTTGGAAAAAGCGGAGAGGTGGTCAGTGCATGACATGGTGTCGTGGTATGAAAGAAAGCTGCAAAGGACTGGCTTCTGTCGGTCCTTCACGACTCCCTTGTTGGGGTCTGAGAGATGGTGCTACACAGTGGCTAGAGACGTTATCAGATATGGCTCAGAATAGAAGTCAGTGGCGATCCTGCTGTAACCTTCTTTTACTTTCTTCATAAGAAGTGGTTGTGTCTCCCTTACTTGAAAGATTTCTTCTGATTGTACCTTTCCGTTCCATCGTTACGACCGCACTACCTTTCACCAATCTCTTTGTTATTGTTCTCTTTTTCTTTTGTACTCCTTAGTTTTTTTTTCTTTTCTCTCTTCGAATTTTCATTGTTTTGTGTGGCGCATATATATTGGCGCTCTCTTGTACCAATATTTATGTGCTCAAATAAATAAATAAATAATCAGTCAGTAACAACGTAGAACTCTGCGTGCTTTAGGATTTGTGGCCTACATAGTAAGATACGTTTATCACTCGTTACATATTTTATTCTCTCAAACATGAGAGTATATTGTGATCCAACGATAACTGTAAGGTTGTAAAAAACACTGACTTTTAATCATTTGGTTGCAAGTCTGAACTTTGTTTCAAATACTTCAGTTTTAGGATCCAGGGAGTATCATCAACACCATGTACTGTTCACGTTTTACGTGGTTAGTTTTTTCTTTTTTTTTCACTTTTCCACATTCCAGTTTTTGTACATTTTACTCTTCCATGATTTCACGATTGGATTTTACTCCTGTTCATCACTTTCCTGAAAGCAGTTCTTTGTATGGGTTCGTGTTAATGGGATGGTAAGCTAAGTTAATTTCTGGGTGAGATTCCAGTTTCTAGACTAAGTCTGCAAACTGTAATCTTATATTGGTCCAAACGGGTGATGATAAACGATAGATGTAAGCTATTTATAATCTTACCTTAACGATATGTTTATTCAAGTATACAAATGTATTCGACTAATTTAATGTTTATTTGCTATTTTCATTACATTTAAATTCACTTTTACTTCTCGATAAACTGTCTGTAGGCAAGCCGAATACAAATAATTCCAAAGAGCTCATAGAAAAGCACGAAAGCGATAATCAACTCTCGACCAGTGCTCTTGCAGAACCTCGCTTTCAATGTCCAGTTGTTACTACTAGAAACGATGATCATCTGCCAGTTACAGATGATCCTACTGAATATCTTGAGATAAAATTATCCAAAAATAAGATACATGAGAAATCACTTGTTAATAATCATGAGAAACTTCAACGATCCTCTCGTAAAGACCATCTTTCATCAGAAGGTTTTAAATATTGGTCAGAAATGTACAAAGAAAATCTTCGTCAAGCAGATGAAAACCTAACTGTATTACAGTCAAAAATAAGAGAATCTTTGTTGTTAACTAGCAGTCATAAAAAAACCAACTCAAATCTCTGCAATAATGCAACACCAAATTCACTCACTAAATATAATCCGACGACAATAACGAAGGATTCACATATTGTAAGCAATTTATCTAGATGTTTCTCATCATCGGATCTTTTGAACATTGTAGATAACAATCAAACATATTGTAAAAGATTAGAGGTATTTTCTAGTCCTGTGAAAAAAATTGAAAATACATTTAATGAAGATATTCTATGCCCTGAAGTTGGTATATCTCCAACTGCTGTCATTCAAACAGAGTCATCTAATAGAAATGATAAACATATTGGCCATGATGTATCGTCTTTAGATGCCAATTCAAAATTATCTTCATCTATACTTCGTGAAAATATGAAAAATTCTACATATCAGCTCACTCCAGGTAGAACGTGTTTAACAGAACAAAATGCCAGTGTAGAAAAATCGACTGATGGAATTCAAGAGGATCAAAGTAATATGAAGTTAAAGCCCAATAAAAGCTTGATTAATTTATCAGAATGTATTAGTCATTTAGTTGAAGAACGTTCTCGTGTACAAGGAAAATTGTTTCGTCTTAAGGTACGCTATTTTTGATGAATACAATTATGTCACTATATTCAAGTGACTTTGTTAGACTAAAGACTACTTCAACTTGTTACGATCTTGATTTGTCTGCCCACTAGGTCATACTTAATATACCGAGAAGATAAGATAGTTGTTTCGACCCGGTTCACTACCTTGACATGAGTTATTTGATACAACTTTGAGGATTGTTAACGCAGGAGTTCGACTTATGACTAAACAACTTGGAGGGCACAGCTAAATGAAACTTTCCTATCAATACACTGTGTCTTATGTGGTAAGCGAGTAAGATAAGCATTTTTCCAAATCTTATTGCATAAACTTAGATTCACAGAACTACTTGCGGGTTTACACTCAATCTCAGTTATGGTCAATATTAGACGCAGAACAAATGTGCCTCGGTCCTAGTTGCTAAGTTTCACATCAGCAAAACGATAGAAGAAACTCAAAGCGAGGCAATTGTTCTGTTACACTATTATTTTATTAGTCGAGTTCATAGATAGGGTCAGTCACTCAGTTATAATCAACGTAAAACCTGGGAGATATGCGCATCCGTTCAGATTGCAACACCATATCACAGCAAGATAAAATTATGCAAGTAGATCACAAAATAGTAGAATGAGCAACGGTATAAAAGATTAGATATGAACAATATAATTTATGAAGAATGAATAAAGAAAGCGAAGTACAAGACAATACATAAACGCATAAATATTGGTACCACGAGGCACCAAATACATATGCACCACATAAATCATTCGATTTGTGTGAGGGCTCGGAAGCTGCCGAGGTGCCCATACCGAGGTAGGTTTTTGTTATTTAAACATATAAACATAGACTTTATTTAAAACAATTCTAGCCCACAATGCAAGCGTAGGCAAAGAGTAGAGGCATCTGTGCAATGGCAACTTACTCTGACCTGTATCATCTAACATTTCCAATTATAATAATCAGACATAGCCGGACGCTGTTGGTTTAAACCTAACAACGTGGCTCTGCTCAACTATCAATGACTTCATGGACTAGTGCCACGTTTTTCCTTGGTGGCCTCTAGAATTCTTTCAACCGATTCCTACACCAGACAACGTCACGTATCGAGCTAGGTAGTGGTTGTATTTACGTAACACATATCCTAACCACTTCAGTTGTTAAAGATTCATTGTTTCATTAGCTGATATCTTCACACAATAGCGTTTGAGTGATCTCAGTATTGATCACTCAGTGGTCTCAACATACGGGAGCAATGCTTGAAAAGTATCTATTAATAAATACTAGTCATATACGAATTTCCTGTTTTTAAAGGCCACGTTTTGTAGTCATAGAGTATAACATAGCAAGCTGTTGCACAGTGTACTTATCATTTGGTCGACAAACGGATATCTCAATTCTTAACAAGTGACTCAAGTTGACAAAAGCTAATCAGACTTTCTAAATTCATGTCGAGATTTCTTCAGACGCCAACCAAGAAGACTGTGTCTTTACCGAACAGAACTATGTCACCTTCGTATTCTAAGTCAGCAAGTGAGACCACCTCTTGTAAAGTTAGACGGTGAGAGCTTTGTCTTTAAAAAAAATGTCTGTGACTAATGGAAAAATGAGAACAGTTCCCTATTAACTTTTAATTGGTCAGTATTCTTCGTGTATACAACGCTGTCATACTTCTTCTATACATCTTTCAATGATAGGCACTGCCATGAAGCCTATGACATACTGCCTTAAGATCAATAAGTACAACTATAGTCGGTCGTCAGTAGGTATGCTTTTGTTTCACAACCTGATGAAGAGTGGAGAAAACTTATGATCAATGTTTCGAAAATACACACAACTCACAAAACTAGTGTATACGAAAGTTCAACAAATAACCTAAGTAGATATTCACAAGGAACACTGGACGGCTGTTTTATCCTCAGTAGTGTATACTTAGAGGTTAAGTGTTCCACAGTGGCAGTTGTGGATGCATAATCTTAGTGAGCCCTATGCTAGGATAATGATGCTGTTCAGTTGCTTTCTAGTTTTTAACGAATGTCTAATTCAGGTTGGTTCGTGATATCAATAAAATTTGGTAATCTCCACAAGCCTCTATACTGATAAATAACCATCTTTTTGAATTTCGTATTCACTTAATTTTTTTAAAAATAGGAAGTTCACCTTTGTTCAGTTTTGAAAATTATTAGATTTTTAAGTGGTATACAAGTACAGTAAAAATGTAGAGACTATTTTTTACTCATTATTAAAAGGAGTTTGTGGTGATTGCCAAATTTTAAAGTTTACAACTCTTACTGGTTCTAGTTGAACAATCATTGATAATCAGGGGATACTCGACAGGTTTTTCATCCTAATACGGTACTTCTCAGTAGTGCATATCCACACTCCCCATATATATTGGCGCTCTCTTGTATCAATATTTATGTGTTCAAATAAATAAAAAATACACTCCATTAAGGATCAAATCAGGGTCCTGCGTCGCGTTTAATCTCTTGATCACTGAACCGCCATCCAATGAAAGACGATTACGCAATATGGTGAATCGATTCAAGTTAAATATATCAGTGACTACGATCGCTGTGAGGCTTGATGTTTCTGGGTTTGGATGTCTGTTGGTATAATGGATGGACACACTGTAAAAGAGTTCCATACTAGAATGATACAGTTGTACAGTGCTTCCTGGTTTTCAATTTCTGTTTAACTTAAATCGGTATTTACTATAAACCGTGACTTTCTTATTAACTGATAAAAATGTACGAACGAATAGTTACAATATGTGGTTTTTCTTAATATTACCTTTTTTATCACGTTTGATTCTTAATGTATATTTGATCGAAGTTTATCTCTTACTCTTATTACTTTCTAGTTACTTTATAAAACTTACAAACGACGTCTAGACAATTTAGATGCCAGTTTATCAGCACTACAAGAACAGACTAACACAGAACAACCATCTTCTAATGTTTTACCAATCTCTAAAATATACAAACAAAATGGTAATACTAAAAATATCCAAGAGAAAAGAAATTCATCAGTGTTTACGAATTTGACGAATGAAAACGATGCAAATGTTCCATTACTACCTCAGCATTCAAATGTCACTACATGTATCAATGATTTAAACGAATCTGCCAATAATAGATTACATTCTCGTTTATCTTATTGTCATCATTATCATCAAAATCCTAATGTTTCACGCGTAAAACGTTCAGTGTCAGTACCTCGTTCTCCAATTTCATGTAATTATCTCAGAAATTCAAATAATCCACATATATCATCTCATCATTTACATGATAGTACTTCAGTTTCACGTGATCTAGCAGTATCATTGGCTTCAATCGATGTACAATTGCATAATGTTTTGAAACATCTTGATTCAAATACTGATGAAAGTCTTCAATCACACATAAACCATTACATACAAAATCATTATCCTATTTCTACTGTAACTGATGAACAACACCACTGTACTAATGATGATACAAATGTTATACATATTCAACGTTGTTTGGAAAATATAAATTTAAGTAATGAACCATTACTTGAAGGTGGTTGTAGTGGTGGTAGTTGTATATCAAATAATTTAACTTGTTCACCTTCATGTAGTTGCAATAAAACTCTGTCTCATAGAACAATGGATTTATTGCATTCACCAACCAACTGTTCACCGAATTCAAATATAGATTTAATGTCAAATAAACGCAACAGCATTTGTACATCGAGGTATAGTTTTATGTGTTTATTGTTATTCTTTTCACATATCTAGTTACTCTTTCATGTTATATTGTGTAATTAAAAATACAGGTCTGTAGTCCTGGCATAGTTATTACGAAATTATAGCTGAAATAGTTTTTAAAAAGTTTAATTTTTGCTTTCAGTAGGACCCCGGAATGTCTAGAATTCGTCACCTGGATGCATCTGAATCTCAGTATTGAAGTTTTGTTCTTTGAACTGTATAGCTTAATTTGCGAAGACTATCGTTTTAGATGATATTATCAATAGGTGCTCTACATTTTGCTGCTTAGAACAAAAATGTCACATTTACAACTTGTTAGACTCCAGTCCTGTACTTTATATATTCAATCTCAAATCACGAATATCCACTACTGCACTAAGATGAATTACCTGTAAAAATGTTACTTCCTAATTTTTGGTTAGTTCCCAAATGCCCTTGAACGGTCGTGGGTGGGGAGAGACCGCTCTCGCCCTCGAAATGTTCTCACATGACCACGCATATACAGCCACTGCCGGGGAAGTCCTGCTGATTGCCCTTTCGCAACGGGAGTGTTGTTTACAAATGTGAGAGAATGAAAAGCGAACGTCTGTCGCTTTGACCAGTTTAGTGGGTATGGAGGAACCACCTAGAGGAGTTGAAAAACCCTGATTTCAAACCAATGATGCACATGGGCTCCTGGATCCTAAGCGGATAAATAGCGTATGAACCTACTGTTGGTCACCGGCTACCATGGGGCTGCATATGCTCACGTTGCTACACTGCCTTGTGGACTAACCCTCTAGGTGAAAGGCTTGAGGATTAATGCCCTATGAAAACCACCTGCTTCGGTTTTGACGCCCGAGCAGTACCCCAGCCTTCACACAAGTTGAATGACTGGCGCATCCTTGTATCAGTGTTTATGTGTTTAAATAAATAAATTAACACGATGAGAATAGGAAAGGAATTGGTTATTTATATATTTATTTGAACACATGAATGTTGGTACAAGAGCGCCAATATATATGCGCCACACAAAATGAGAATTCGAAGAGAAACAGAAAAAAAAGCTAATGAGCGCAAAAAAAAGAACAATAACGAAGAGATTGGTGTAAGGTAGTGTGGTAGTAATAAGGGAACGGAAAGTTGCAATCGGAAAAAATCTTTCAGGTAAGGGAGACACAACCACTTCTTATGAAGAAAGTAAAAGAAGGTTACAGCAGGATCGCCACTGGCTTCCATTCTTAGCCATATCTGATAACGTCTCTAGCCACTGTGTAGCACCATCTCTCAGACCCCAACCAGGGAGTCGTGAAGGACCGACAGAAGCTAGTCCTTTGCAGCTTTCTTTCATACCACGACACCATGTCATGCACTGACCACCTCTCCGCTTTTTCCAACCAGTCCCAGAGTCGGCAAATAATGCACGACGTGGAATTCTCTGGGACGACATTCGTAGAACATGTCCAAGCCACCGAAGTCGGTGTTTCAAGATGGTGACACCAATTGAATTATCATCTCTGTGCCCGAACACACGATGACACTGAATGTCAGCAATCCTTTGGAGGCAGCGATGATCGAACACAGAGAGTCGTCTAACGTCCTCAACTCGGAGAGGCCAGGTTTCACAAGCATAGAGCAAAACTGCTCTCACCGACGCGTTGTACATCCGACCTTTTAAAGCCAGACTAACATCACGAAGGCGCCAAAGATGGCCCAGATTGGCATAACCCACTCTGGCTTTCATTATACGTCCATTGATCTCATCTCTCACACCACAACCAGCACTTATGCAGCTACCCAGGTACACGAACTTCTCGACTACGTCTATCTGCTCACCATCCAGAGTGAGTACAGGATTAGAATCCTGCCATTCTTGTAGAAGTACTTTGCACTTCGAAGGTGCAAAACACATACCATACCTACGGATACTGATTGCCAACTGATTAAGTGCGGATCGCATGCCTTGGGCATTTTCACACAGTAAGACAATATCGTCCGCATACTCAAGGTCGAGAAGTCTTTCTCCAGGCAACAGATCCACACCACCATTACTTACATTCATCAGAGCTGTTTCCAGAATGTCATCGATAGCAAAGTTGAAGAGGAATGGTGAGATTGGGCAACCCTGCCTAACCCCACTGCTCGAATGGAACAATGGAGAGAGGTGGTTGTATGCCCTCACTCTGCCTGAGGTGTTTTTATATAGGGCCTTTAGGATGTTAATAAACTTCTCAGGCAGACCCTTCTTCAATAGACAATCCCAGAGAACAGTCCTGTCCAACGAATCGAAGGCAGCCCTGATGTCAAGAAACACTACGATTGTTGGCGTTTGATAAGTATGACGGTGTTCTAATATTTGGCGGAGGGTGAAGATATGATCAATACATCCTCCACCAGAACGAAACCCAGTCTGCTCCTCGTGAGTCAATCTTTCTCGGGTTTTGAACAACCTACGAAGTATGACGGAAGCCAATAGCTTGGACGCAATCGGAAGTAGACTTATCCCCCGATAGTTGTTACAGGAACGACGTGAACCCTTTTTAAAGATAGGGACAACTATCGACTCATTCCATGACGTTGGTACACTCTAACACCTAAGCCTTTGTAAACAACGTCGTCAGTTCCCTAGTCAGAACGTCACCACCATCTTTAAAAAGAGCCGGAGGTAAGTCATCTGGGTCAGGTGATTTGTAGCGCTTCAAGAGTTGGAGTTCCTTGCGGACTTCCTCCTCATTTGTTGGATCAATCGTCACCGTCCATGGAGGGCAGGACAGTCTGACCGACGTTGCTGGAGCAGCAGGCCAGTTGAACTGCCCTTTGAAGAATTCTGCCCATTGTCCAAGACGTCGATGGATGTTAGTGATTGGCATCCCGTCATCCTCGCAGATTGTTTCACTCACACCAGACTTCTTGCTGCCAGTGGCTCGGATGAGCTGGAAGAGCTTCCGGTGGTTACCAGATGCAGCTGCTGCTTCCAGCTCATTAGCACGCTTCGACCACCAGGCTTCTCGGTTCTTACGCAAGCTTTTCTCAATTTCCTTACGTAACATCCTTCGTTTATGGTCAAACTCGCGGTCACCGGGAGTAGACCGACGGGCTTCAATGAGTTGTAAGGAACCTGAAGAAACCCAGTGCTTGTAAGCGGGACGTTTCGCGAACCCACAACTGACTGTACCCGCCATTTTCATGGCGTCATGCAATTGCAACCAATGCTCATCTATACTTTTCGGTGGAGTGGTAGCTAACCTAGAGGCTAGCTCGGTTCGATACTTATTTGCAACAGAAGTTGCAACCAGCTTGCTAATATCAATCCGTTGGTGGCGGTCACTTCGTTGTCCACTGAAAAGTAAGGTAAGATTGGCGCAGATCAAGGCATGGTGTGAGTCCAGATAGGTACTCCAGAATGAGCGGCAGTCTTGTACACAACCACGCCAGCGGTAGCTGATCGCGATGTGATCAATCTGAGTCCAGGCTTGGGATGCAGAGTTGAGGACGCCAGGTGGCACATCGGCGATGACTGTGCCGAAAGTTAGTGCTAGCCAGAAACAGGTTGTAGTCCGTGCAAAGTTGCAGTAGACGGTCCGGGTTATCTGACCTGCGACCAACGAGTCCCCATCGGCCACCTAAACGACTCTCTTCTGTGCCTAGACGCCCGACCTGAGCATTCAAGTTTGCGGCTAGTACTACAATGTCTGTCGAACGCACTTTCTGGAGAAGAACAGATAACTGGTGGTAAAACTCATCCTTGATTGCATCCGGGCTGCAATCTGTCGGGGCATAGGCGGAGATGACGAAAATACATCGTTTCTCACACCGATTTCTTCTCACTTTGATGGAACTTTCTAATCTAACAGCACATAACCGACTGTTAATGGGGATCCAATCGATTAGGGCTGCCTCAGCTCTAGCGCTCAGTGTGACACCAACGCCAGCAAGACCAGACGAAGATGCCACAGGGTCCCCGGATAAGCGCACGTAAAACAAGCTTTTTGAAGTGACAGATGTAGAGCGAATTTGTAGTACTTCACCAGAGTCTTGAATACGGGTCTCGGATAGACAGCAAACATCAATATGAAGACTTTCCAAAGACATAGGCAGCCCTGTCTGTTGTCCGACCTGCATAAGTGTGCGAACGTTGAAGGCAGCCAGTTTGAATGGCCCACGTGGTTTCAGAAAAACTGCTTCAGTTCTCGTAATCGGTGGTAACATACAATTTTCAACCGGACAGTGACTCGAGAACGTTCAGATACAGTCGAATTTCCACCAAAGACGAGCCGCTGTATAAGTATAAAAGAGGGTGAACAATGTGGGAAATAATAATAGTAATAATAATGAAAATAATAGTAATGATAATAATTTGATTCAATTGATTGTTTTTCGAAGCGAGAAAAGTAGTTTCCATAGACATAAAGAGTTCATCATTTGTGTGTGAGCTGTGATACTGCCCGGGTGCCCAAACCGAAGCAGGTGGTTATCTTAGGGGGCCACACCCCGAGCCTTCGACCTGAAGGTCTGATCCACAAGGCAGTGGAGCATCGTAAGGAGATGCAATGCCATGGTAGCCGTTGACCAACGATTGGTTCATACGCCATTTGTTCCCTCAGGATACTGGAGCCCATGTGCACCATTGGTTTGGTTTGTGATCCGGTTAAATCGCCGGACATTCGCTTTTCGTCCTCTCATTTTCGTAAACAACACCCCCGCCACGAGAAGGCAGTGAGTAGGAATTCCCTGGCAGAGGCTGTATACGCGCGGCCGTGTGAGAGTATTTCGAGAGGGAGAGCCGACTCTTCCCGCTCTCGGCCGTACCAGGGCATTCGGGAGCTTGAATTGAAATAATATAGTATCCACAATAGTAATGATAAAGAATAATTATCAAGAATATTACTCGATAAAATAAAATAACATATTTAACGGAATAGGGAAAATTAAAATTTTGCAGAAGATGGAGAATGACTCGAAATGTGCCGTTGTAAACATCATTGAACCATATCACCTTACGTGTCCAAACACTTATCAACTGAACCCAAATTGTTTTTGTGACTAGCCTCAAGCATTCTGCTGTTGAACTCTGTAATCATGCTCTTTGGTCGTCAAAATCATCCCTGACACATTTCTATTTTTTTAAACATTCCAACAAGAATCATTCATAATGTTGAGCAAATTAGAACTAGTAACCACTATACTAATAATTTAATATATTTTTTCATAAACTTTAGATTATTATTATTACTATTGTTCTTTGCATTTTGTATCAGGCTCTTGAAACCCACTACTCACAAAACTGTTAAATCAGTACTATAGGACAGCATTGATCAGTGTCAACACAATCTGTGCACCTAATTCATCACATGTATGAATCTCCGTTTCCAATCCTTATATATATATATATATGACCTTTTTATTAATGTTATATTATTTGTGCTTCTATCCAAGACTATTTTTGCATACCAATTTTTTTTTAGTGTACCCTATATTTTATTAAGTTTTATAACTCATAAATAAATAAATATATTTATTTGGTTTTATTATGTTTTCTGTATTTTATAACAATTGAATTCATGAGTCGATTTAAACTAGACTACTACCATTGAAAAAAAAGCTGGAAGCACTGGACTGTATTTTCATCCTAGTATGGAACTCTTCAGCAGTGCATATCCACGATCCAGTATGCAGGACTGGAACTCAAGACCTATGGTTTTGTGCTCCAACCCTTTACATTTAGATCACTGATTCGTCATTCAACAATGTTAATGACAAACTTCACTCGATTCATGATTTTGAGCAACTCTTTTTTAGGCTTACCTAACAAGTATATCATAAAATCCATTAACATACATCATTATCAAGTCATTTTTAACTTCAGTTAGGCATGAATTTTCTAAAAATTTGTCAGACGTCGGAATAATGTCTAATAGAGTTCAAATTATCTTAAGGCACTTATAATAGTATGCATTATAATATATGCATTTAACCCTCAACATTACTCACTTGATAATTGCATCATATACAACCAATACAGTAGAAGAAACAGAATTAGTTGGCAACTACATTAAAATAACCCGTCAGTCATTAAGTAGTGCTTCAAACAATATGGATACGGATTTGTAAGAATAAGACATTTTGGCGTACAGGAATGGATACGTACTCAAGTTATTTTTTGAATGTAATGTGAATTTTGGTTAAATAGTTCTGAGATCGGTTAAAATAACAACACCGTAGGACTGTATTTTGTGGTTGTGCAATGTCTAACCGTTTTAATTGAAATTGGTTAATTGATGTTAACGTTAACATGATGTTCAGTTTCGATTGTATAAAGTAAAACTTATCATGTGGAAGATCAACTAACGATTCTGAATTCATGTTTTATCAACAAAAGGCTAATAAGCTGAGTTATATATTCATGTATCATAATCGAACAGTTCAACTGACGAACTGTTGGTGTTATCGGGACATAGATTGGATTAAAGCATGCTCAATGCATGATTGCTTTGGCGCATGCTGATTGGTTAAGAATTAGCCAGTCAGCGCTAGCCGATACTTGGAGAACATTTTAGAATCTTCTCAAATAAGAAAACTATCAATATACTAGCGTTTTTCCTATTGTGCTTCTTACTTCCATCTAACCTTGTTATTTGGAATATAATCTCTTTCCTGTTCAGCCGTGTTCTGATTGGGGGACTTGTCGAGTGAATTGGTGTCTGAGAATACTAAGCAACAGGAATAGCTGGGTTATAACCGTAAGAGAGAATTATAACAGTTGGAAATAAATGTACATGTTTAAGTATAAGAATTCAAACAACCATCTGTGATGAATATCATTTACAAAGCTCTACTGTCTCGAATGTGAAGCATACTGCAGCAATTACCGTTGTACTGTGTTGTTTTGATTGAGTTTGAAAATGAATAAACTTAATTGCCAACTCAGTGGTATAGTGTTTATAAGCTTATCGAGAGTCTTGAAATTTTTGTCTCGATCACCCTTGTGGTGTGGTGTGAGCTACTTATATTGATATAAGTAGTATATAACGTGCGTTAAAAGAACGTAATGTCTGGCAGCGGAAGATGGCGAAGATCAAGAAAGGTAGAGCGGGAACACAATGGAATTTGTAAGAAAATGCATGAACAATGGAATGGGAGACAATGGATTGGTGTTTGCAACAGAAACAGTGCAGTTTGATTTGATGCATGAATATTTTGCAAATTGACGATTTACTATATGGTATTCGGATTTTGTTGAGATAGTCTGTAACTGTTGTTCAAAATACATCTGTTTGTCCCCACCCGTGTTCTTGTTCACTACAGTGGTATCGATATCTGTTATTGACCGATCTCACATTAGGATGGAACTGTCCGCCACCTCGGATGACTATCGTATTCCAAAATAAGGTCTATAAGTGAAGAGTACCTCTGCTTAGTCGACAAATAATGACAAGCTAATTAAAACCAGAAAGTATATCGTTTATCGATTGATTGATGAAAAGCGTTATTAATCTAAGCAATCAAAATTTTCCATTTCACTAAGTAAATTAATCGATTTTAGAAGTTTTCACAATCCTTCTAATTTGTTTTTGCTTTTTGATAATTCACCATAGAAACTAAAATAATCATGTACAGTATAACTTTCTTCTGCCGTTAGAATTCATTATCTTCAATACTTAATAACTAGGGCCCCCAAATGCCCTGGTACGGTCGAGATTGGGAAGAGTCCGCTCTCCCTCTCGAAATACTCTCACACGACCACGCGTATATAGCCTCTGCCAGGGAAGTCCTACTCACTGCCTTCTCGTGGCGGGGGTGTTGTTTACGAAAATGAGAGGACGAAAAGCGAATGTCCGGCGATTTAACCGGATCACAAACCAAACCAATGGTGCACATGGGCTCCAGTATCCTGAGGGAACAAATGGCGAATGAACCAATTGTTGGTCACCGGCTTCCATGGGACTGCATCTCCTTACGATGCTCCACTGCCTTGTGGATCAGACCTTCAGGTCGAAGGCTCGGGGTGTGGCCCCCTAAGAAAACCCCCTGCTTCGGTTTGGGCACACGGGCAATATCACAGCCCTCACACATATCGAATGAGATTTGTGTGGCGCATGTGTATTTGGTGCCTCTTTGTACCATTATCTATGTGTTGAAATAATAAATAAATAATAACTAGGAATCACTTATTTTCAATATGAAATTATATACAAATTTATAAACCATCTATGTGATCTCTCTTTTTTTCTCTGGGCATGAAATTCCGGATATATATTATGTTACTGTGGCGTACTAGATCGTTAAATGACAATCTAATTGTTGGCCTATTCCATTGGGGTTTTTCTTTTATAACGCTCATATTTTCTTCGTCTACACGAATAGGACTCTAATTTGAATTATACAAATATTTACAGTGGATTCACTTCCATTGTTTATTCTACAAGACATCAATACAACTCAGATCAAGAACATGTGATTAGCTTGATTAGAATGTAAATATTATTTCCATACCTACAGCTGATAACAATCTATCATAGTAATAATAAAAGTAAGAGAATATATAGATTACTCATCTAGTACCTATTAGACTATCCTATCAACTCATCATGAGATAGTATACTCAAATTTTACCACACTATCATAGAACTAGTGTACTTAATTATCTCGAATGAATTAGTACATTAATATTCAAGTGTATATGTATGAAAACCAAAATGCAAGTTCAAAATCAGAATGAAGCTTATGGATACAGTCCATACATATATATATATATATATATATATATATATATATATATATATATATATATATATATATAATATTGAGAACAATTTATTGAGAAATAACTATCAACAAAACACTTGCTATTGTTTACTTGAATCTTCCGGCTGATGTTTAGGACTACAATTGATCAGTCTATTATTAGCATATTTACATACTGTTTGTATTGCCTTAATTCATAAGTAGTATAAACAAAGATGGATAGTGATTAGTAGTAGAATCTAGAAAGCGCGTTTTGTCCTATTTTGGACTTGTCAACTGGATGTATCTGTATCTTAGAATTGTTGTTCACTCTTGGACTTGAACCCAGTATCATCATTTGCTTCAAATACCATCACATTATCCACTATGTCCTGACAAATCACAAATAAGATGAAACACGCCTCCTAGATTCTATTACTAGCTACTATCTAGTTTTACTTATAAACAATACAATTCCTGGAGTTTTGTTTTACTGTAATCATTTCAATTTCGTCTATTAGTGAATTAGTAGTAGACATTACTAAACATGTTTGATCATGTTAGTTTATCTGATTGACTCATTATATATTGGTGACCACTATTTGTAAGTCGCTAGATGATTGGTCTATCTGTCAAGGTCACAGGATGTGAATCTATATATATATATATACAGAGAGGGTGAGATAGATACGCCACATATTTTCGATGTTACTAGTACAAGTGAATAAATGGATTATTGATTTTTACGTTTGGTACCAATGACTGTATGAATATTTGTAATCATGTTGCATAATTTTGTTACTATCTAAATTCAAACAAATGATGTACATTTTTGGACAATCATAATTAAAATCAAGTGAGTAATTAAGATTTATTAGTTAATAATAATACCTATTCCATAAGTTGAAGTTTTGAAATGATAAAGACGATTTGTAGCTCAGCTGAATGATTTCGATGGAGTTTTGTTCTGTGAATTCAATGTTTTAATTGTGGAGCTTTTATCGTTCTTTTGAATGACATCACCAGCACCAAAAAAAACTTCGATCAGAGAACAAAACTTCATCATAAAGATTTGAAGTTTAATCAGTTTAGTTAATACTTTTGTTTGTTTTTCTACGACAATCAAAACTGTTCTGTCTTTGAAAATATTACTTACTTACACTTGTTACTTCTCATGAAAGAGCTTAGTTCAGTGAAAGCCAAGTTCCTTTGAATATATACCTTCTTGGAATGACACGGAAATAGCCTAAGATGTACTTTTGTTGTTATTGTTGTTGCTGTTGGTTAAAGTACAGTATATGGATTTAGTTTTTAAAGTCACTTTAAAGTTTATACATTGGTAGTTTGTATAAATCAACTCTATTTTGTGACAGAAATAATGTAATTTGTTACAATTTATGAAGTTCATTGGTTTTTTTCAAAACTTATTAATAATTGAATTCGTGAGTCGATTTAAACTAGACCACCATTGAATACTTGGAAGTACTAAATGGTCGTTTCATTCTAGTATGAGACTTCTCATCAGCGCAATCGGTATTGAGTTTCGAGTATAATGAAAATGCAACCAATACAATTAAGCATTAAGAGCAATTTTTTTTATACTATTTATATTGGTTCCATTTCATTAAACTACTATGTCACGTAGTATTTGATACCAATAATGTCTTGAAGATACTAGATTCTCAGAAATCACTTGGTAAACGTCTGATTTTTGTAATTTTACTTCGGAAATTTGAATTTCTCGTTTTCACACCAAAAATGTTTATTTTCTACTTGAAAGGATCCTAAATGTCATTGGTTGGT